TGATTAGCCACCAGTTTGAAATGAGTGATTCCAAAACACGAAACAGATGTGCCCARTGATTAATACCTGGTGTGCCTTTTACTCGATTACTTCTGCCATTATCCAGGCTTTGATCACTCTGATTTTCTTGGGGTTGACGTTGGTTCCTCCTCTGCAGTCTTCTTCTTCTGTTGTTTGATTTATTCTTTGGGTTTTCAGAAATTCCTTCACCGTGTGTTCAGAAATAGTGCACTGTCAGGCACAGTCGCATTTGTGCTGTCCCAGCTCACAGCAGAGCCAAGTGCAGGAGTCATCAGAAACCACTCATGTCTRTCCTGCCTCAGCACTCCAAACAGTTCTCCTGCACGAGGTTATTSCTCTGATGCGAACCCCACCGTGGGAAAATTGCTGAAATTGTCAGTGCAGACACCACCCAAGTGCACATGCCCTTGCAGATAAGATCTTGTGTGGCTTCCTGCGCCTCATACTGAGCGTGGAAAGAATAGTCATTTTTCGATGAGACAGAGCCAATTGCATTCAAAACAAGCTGAGAGGAGCAGGTATTGGTGCAGGGTGTCTGGGATGTGCTCACTCCAGAACACTCCCCACTTTCCCATACTTTTGGGTTTGCATTCACGTGACTACAGGCGTGTTCTGGTGCTCATGGCTGGGCCTGAACATGTYAGGTGTGGGAAACTTCCCCCATCTCTGGTCAATGCACCATGGGTTAGATAGAATTCAATGCAGTATTGCCCAGTTTTGAATTCTTTCCTGGCCTCAACAAGCCCTCTGCTATATATTAGATGTTTATCCTTGGGAGATAAAACTATTACAGAATGCCCATATAGGATTTTTGCTTTCATCATCTTCAAGTCAAAGAATRGCCTAAAGCTCCCTGAGGATGAGGAGACTCAGGAGCTTGGGCTGGATTGGGATCAGGCAATGGCCATCAGCTGTTCTCCTGCACTAAGAAGTGGATTCACCACATCCCTCCCCTGTGTACGCTTGGGGGCTCAAGGCACAAGAGGGACTGGCCTCTCCTGGATTTGTTGTTACCGGGACGTTTAGYACAGGTTGAACACAGCAATAATGCTAATTATTACTGTTATTAGAGTATGCTAGAAGCTCTCTGGATGAAATGTATTTTTATGCAAAGGCTCCTTATGCCATCAGCCATGACAAAAACATTCTCTTTGGAGTTTGAGGGGGTGAGTAGACCCTGATAAGCTGTGAGTATCTCAGCATTCCCCAGGGCTTCCCCATGTTCCTGCACCTTACCTTGGGTTTGGCTCTTTTACTCAGCTGGTGAAGTGGGGGGTWCCTGCTGTCCAGGATTTGTGATGCCCTGCTGATGCAGCCCTAGGATCTGCAGTTGGATGAACTGCAGATTCCAGCTTCCCTGGCTCGCCTTCAGCCCAGCACTGCAGATGGGGAATGCTTGCTGACTCTGGGTGGGGAGAGGGTTTCTCACCCGCTCTGTTACAGCCTGCTCGGCCTCATTAAAGTGTTTGTTTTCTAAGTCAAAATGAGCCTGCGAATGAGGTGTTGCTTTGCTGGAGATCTTATCGGCTGTAAACAGACTGTTAAAAATAGGGTCGTTTTACACAAAACTTGTTTGTGGAGTGAAACAATTTAAAACACGATGATAAAAAAAACAAAACCTTAAAATAGCTCGAAGTTGAGACCACAGACACAGCTGCCAAGCACTTTCATCTTTATTGCAGTTACTCATATCTCTTCTCTTATTATTCCCATTGTAAACAGGCTGATGTTATCTCTGTTGTCCTCGCTCAGCCGCCAGCCCCTGATCCAGCCTGGTGTCTGTTCTTAGAGCCCAGGTCATGCTTCTTCTTCCACGTGTAGCTTCAGGCATGGACAAGGCAGCTGCCCTGTTCTGTGAGTGTTCCCTGCTGTGGGAAGGCTCTGCCAGCAGCACCATTGGTGTGGCTGCTCTGGTATCTACTGGAGTTGGAGGGTGTTCAATTAACCAGCTTATATAAAGCACTGGACCARGCTTCCCAGAGCAATGGAGTTTCCATCCCTGGAAATGTTCAAAAAGCATGTGGATGTGGCAYTTGGGGAGRTGGTTTGGCAGTGAACACTGKGGTGGTGCTGGGTTGATGGTTGGATTTGGTGATCTCAGAGGGCTYTTCCAGCCTTWATGATACCATGAATCTGTGTGGTTGGAGTTGCTCTGCCTTCCTGCCCTGGTGTGCTGGAGCTGAGCCTGCCAGCCCTGGGGAGGGAAGAGGAGGACTCCCCACACCTTGRACAAATGAACATCTGTTGTTCTACACCCTTTAGGACAGGGTGGCATATCCAACCAGGAAAAGAGGAAAATCCAACCTGACACCCCACATGTTCATCTGATTAAGTCACCTGTACAATTAATAGGGCTGGAGATAAACCTCTGCCATGTAGATAACAGTGCGGCAATTAGGTTAATCTGAACATTAAAAAGCCATTAGGGAGCTGTTGGATGTTGCAGTTAAAACTAAGGCTACAATAGAAGGTACTAATGAGATATGGGATCAAGTGGTGAAACAAGGTTTTCAGAGTTGCAAATCTCTCTTTTTTTTTTTTTCTTTTCTTTTTTTTTTAACTATTTCTTTTAATTCAGCAAACTGAGGAACTGGGTGGAAAACAAAAGCAGCTGCCAAAGATTTGGAGACCCAAACCCCTTCTTCAGGTCCACACCAGAAGTCAGCCTTCAACTGAGAATAATCACTCAGCTTGAATGTTGTGACATTAAGCTGGTAATGAGAGAGAAAAGAAACAGCTTTTTTGCCTTTAAATGGTGGAATAGTTATAAAGTCTGGAATAAGAGTGAATTTTGGCTGAGGTTTAGCTGGGCTGAGCAATGCTCATGTGSCTTATTGTTCAGTCTCTGCAATAATGGGGATTCCTCTTTTTGTYGCTTCAAGTTCTTCTCTTGATTTCTGTTTTGAGGATGAAGCCTGAACTTTCACTGAAGCAGTGTTAAAAAAAAAACATAAACAACTCAATCTTCCTCAAAACCAAACCCAAATCAAAACAACAGGAAAAGATGATGTTTTCCCGCTCCTAAGTGAGACAGTAGGGTTGAGCAGTCGAACTTCCATGATGTGTTTTGATTCTCTGCTTTTCTGCACTCAGTCTGCAGTGCAGTGGGTGAAACACAGGCATGAATTCCCCAGAAATTATTGTAACCCACTGCTTCTGCTGTGAGCAGGGCTGAGCTGTGAGCTGTGTGTGCTGCTTGTCGGGCTCTGCAGGGCATGTGCTGCTAGTGATGGGCTGAGTTCAGGTGTCACTCAGGTGATCACAGAAAATGGATTTCAAGGCATGCACCTGGCCCACTTGGGTTATTTTTCTGGTTAAGTTTTTCCAGAAAGGTTTCATGCAGGTGGCATGTAATGATGGGGGTTCTCTTCCTCTGGGGAAATGCACATTTGTTACTGCATTTTGTTTATGTGTTATGGGGTTGATAAGAAAGATGGGGACAAACATTTTATCAAGGCCTGGAGTGGTGGGACAAGGGGTGATGGTTTTAAACTAATAGAGGGGAGATTTAGATTAGATATGAGAGGGTTTTTTTACAATGAGGGTGATGAGGCCCTGGCACAGGTTGCCTAGAGAAGCTGTGGCTGACCCATCCCTGGAAACATTCCAAGTCAGGCTGGACAGCAGCTCTGTGCAACCTGATCGAGCTGAACATGTCCCTGCTCACTGCAAGGAGGTTGGAACTAAGYGGGCTTTAAAGGCTCCTTCCATTTTATCATTCTATATTCCAACACATCACACAGTTCTAAAATGCATCTRTTTTGACAAATGCATAATTTTCCTGGTTTCTCTCAAATCAAAATCAATCATCAAAAGCAGGGAGACCTATGGAAGAGCTTTTCCTCCAAGCCATGCCCAAACTGGTTTTATCCTCATCTGAATAAGCTGGCTTCTGTGAACTCAGTGGTTTCCATCCCATTGCTAGTCAGTGGGATGCTGGCAAGGTCTGGCAGGGTCACAGATGTGTTTTYAGCTCTGCTTGCAGCCCTTTGGGAAATGCAGCCGGACTCAGCACAGTRGTTTGAAGCACACTCCATGTCCAAGCTCCTCATTCCTAGTTCCCAGTTCAGCACGAACACATCTGGGTGCTCCAAGGCTTCCTGCCCTTACTGCCTCAGTTACTGGCACAAGGCACTATGGTAAAGCCACCCAGTAAGTGCTTATTTGTATTTGGGATCCAAGTGTTCTTACACATTACCRCAATTAGACACTATTACCTCCTGTAAATCCTAATTAGTGTCTGTGCCTCCCAAGCATTATATGGTTAGAGCTTCCTCCATTGCTGTAGTCGCCAGCTGGGGCAGGACAAGTGGTGGCTGAACCAGCTCTTCTGTGCCTGAGTTCCTGCACTTCACCCCAGCAGGTTCCTTCCTGGCTGCAGAAGATCCTGCTTTGGAGCAGTTTGTGAACATGGCAGGTCTTGGCTTATCAAAGATTTGGAGGTCCCACAAAAGAGAAATATAGAGTTCTGCTCATCTCGCTGCGTGTCGTGACCTTGGCACATTCAGAGGTGTGGAGTGACTCAGGAATTATTGAAACTGTAATTTTTTGATATCAGGATGATTAACGTCTTGAGTTGCTTTCACAGAATGCAACTATTTTGCAAAACTTCAAAGTCACAGTGAGACTGATAACATTAGCTCAGAAAGGTGTGGTGGATTGGGTGTTTTTTACCATGACATTGGTAGGAAATATGCACCCCAGCTGGTTTTGTCCAAGTGCTTCACTTTCTCTTTTTCTACCCAACAACTAGATCTTTAATTTTTGCTCCAGGTGCTGTTGTTACTCAGGATATGCAGCTCTGCCAGGAGTGCTCTTGTACATTTGTGGAATGAATGTGGCCAAATGTTTGCGGGATTTGTGCTTGACAATGTAACAGAAATAATTAACACATTACAGATGTGCGTAACTTTGGAATAAGGCCCATTTATCCACTGTGGGGTTCTTCTAAATACAGAACTATTTTTCATGTTTTCTAGGCAGCCATACTGAGTATTAAGCTGAAATTACAGCCAGATCAAGATGTGGAGAAGGTGAGTCATTTCCTCTGCAGGCATCTCTGTCACCAGATCCACCTTTTGTTCAGCAGGAGACCCATCAGGGCCCTCCACCTCCTGCTGCTTTTCACCTGAGGCTTTACTTCATTCCCAAGAAGTACCTGTTGTGTTGTTGATGTACCTTTACATCAAGGATAGGTGCAGGGTGTGTTTTGTTAGTCCCCTTTACACCTCCTGCCCAGTTTATCTGTCTGCAACCACCAGTTGCACAAATCCTGGCTGTGTTCATCACCCAGGCAGAGATCAGTACTTTGCTGCGTTGGTGCTTTGCTCACGTTTGTGTTGCAAATGTCACAGCGCTCTTGTAGGCGGCACTGGTGGGGTGCGCAGGGTTGGAACTTGCTCCCATGCTCCATGGGGATCAAAGGCAGGATCAGTGCTATCAACGTAATTTCTTCTGCTAGATGTGTACCCCACTACTGCTCCAGGATAAAGCTAATTTGGTGGAAGATTAYGTGGCAGAATATCCCGAGCTCCAGAGCAAGCTGTTGCAGACCCTGGACACCTGGTGTGACCCCTGCTTCAATATCAAAGACATCACAAGGTAGAAACACC